TGCTGAAGCCTATGTCTCACAACAGAGCAAGTTTGAAGTTTTTTTCTTAAAGAAATACTCTATTTCAAATTTTGCAGTTACTGTAGCTCACATGCAAACTTGAGTTGAAATTAATAGCATGGTCACACAGGGTTTAAAAACAAACAGAAAAGCTATCTATTGAAAAGCTCTTGAATCAAGTAAAACCCAACGGCCATTGACCTTGGCTTTCAAAGGCTCTCTTCTCCAAACATACATTTTCTAACAGAGGATGCAAATGTGTTTCAATTGAATTAATCTTGCAATTTTCTGGTAATTGGTCAATGTGAGTTGGCACTTCTAACAACAAAAATAAAATCTGTAAAATTTGTCAATAACAGATGGCATTCCTCCTCTCCATCACACTTAAACCAATGTCCTGACATCACCTACAAGAGAATTTTGCAGCAGCAGTATGTTTTCAGATACTTTACCAACTGTGGTCAACATTAAGTATTACTCTTCTTTTACTCCACAATGGTCCTAGAATTCCCTCCTGTATCACAGAGTTGCCTGACCAGAAACACTGCATTAATTAACTTTTCTTCATAATGTACTTCTTGCTGTGTCATTGTTCAGACCACAGATGACAGGAGATCGGTCAGTAATTATGCAGCATGCATTACTGCGTTAGTCATCAAATGTGAGCTACACTCACCAGCAAGCCATTCATAATTACATAAGGGAATAGATGCATAAAATTATGTTACAGAAATATTAACATTCCGAAGTAAATTACGGAAGTGTCAGAAATGACAGAAACTGGGCTGCCGGTAACTTTCATTTTGCTCCTTGGTACATATGCCTTCTAGATTAATATAAACATAAAACCACACTAATTTTCCATGAGATCATTGCCATAATCGAATACACAGTAGTTTTAGCCCCAAAATATGGATATTTACTATAACCTCATCATTAAATATACTCATATGTATGTACGTATGCATGTGTGCATTTCACATCAAATTCTGCACTACACACATATTGCTGATTTTCATTAGTAGGATATGCTGACTGTGAATACACAGTGCTCAGCTTTTGAAATTTTGGTCTAGCTAAATTATCCAGCATCACACAGATCCCAGTTCTGCACAGAGGCATTCAAATGTATATACTTTTTTTTTTACCCTCTTCATGAACTGCTATACAGTTTAACTTGACACATGGATACATCTTTCATGTTGAATAACTCTCAATACATTCTCTAAAAAGATCCATTTTAGAAGCTGAGATAATGCTGACCTGGAGGGGAAAAAAAAAAAGGCAAGCCATGACAAACCAACTCACCCAAGGAGAATTAATTCTGTTTGAATGGAAAAAACACAAACACCAAAAATCCCTAAAACAACATCCTCCCCCCACCAATTCAGATGTTTGCTAGTATCCAATTACCTAATTTAATTTTGCAACACCTTATCATCTGTAGATAAGACTTGGTTTTACAAGACAAACTACATTTTCAGAAGAACTATCACACTAAACAGGACAGTCCACTCACAAACAGGTCCACAGCACAGTTCTCCTTTTATACTGAAGGCCCATGTTATAACCACTATAATTATCTTCTTTGCAGACATTATCTTCTATCAGCTAAATTCTAGTTGCTGATGAGACACATGGGAGGAAGGAAGGGAGGGGGGGAACTGCTACTATTTGCTAAACAGCAGAGGAGCTCTGGGACTCAAGTTCTGGAGGGAAGCATCCTTACCATCACGGATGCTTCTGCTTTTCTACTCTTTTCCTTCCAGGCTCACTTCCTTTCTCCTCTGCTTCTGACATTTACTACCCCCGTCCAATTTTCTCCAATGTCAACCTCTGCTGGGCCTTTTCCTCATACTTTACCTATCCTGGAGAGCCTCTCCCTCTCAAGCCCAGTGCTGCTGCACCAGCAGCTCCCAACCCCAAGAAGCCATCACAAGGGATGTCCTCCTCAGAGAAGATGCAACCAGATTTCCATCCATAGCCACTAACACTTTTGAGTACAAACACACCCATACCTACATAACAATTTTCAGGTATTTTCCCCACTCTGAGAATTTATTTTTCAAAATATTGACAAAATGGCATGTGTTTGGTCTCTGGACAATACTCAAGTCCCACTCTTAGCTCCAAGACATGGAACAGCTAGAGCAACTGAAACTTGGGAAATTGTTTTAATTTCCAACAAAACAATTTATTTGCTTGTAACATTTCTTGAAACTTATTTTTTTACCAGAAGTTCAAATGGAAAATTTGAACACCATTTAAAAGGAACCAAAAATTTTATAAAAAATAAATTTAAACCAAAAGATTCGCATTCATCATCAAGGAACTTTAATAGAAGCTGTGTCTGCCAGCTCTATATATATTATATGCAAACAAAGTTTACAAGTACCAGTACTATTGAATAATTTGGTATCTCTGATCAAGAATGCTGTATTAGGTTCTGTTAAAGCTTCTATATAGAAGTTACCTTGCCTTTTCCAGACTGAAGAGATGCACAATTACTGATACCAGCTTTAATAACAAAGAAAGTCAACAAGGTGTAATTTTTAAAGAGAGCTATAGACATGAAGTTCTACTACAGAGTCCCCCATTCCAGTAAAAATTAAGTACTGGGACCCATGGATGCCCAAGATGAAACTGAAATTTAACTTGCAATGGCATTTCTCCTTGAGATATAAAAATGCAAAATGTTTTTGCATGACTACCACATTAGACCACAGGAATACACCTACAGTTACAACAGACTCTGAAGCTCAGTTTCTTGATGTTTCATGGCTAAGGACCTTAATCTGTCAAGACAGTGAACAAACAGCTAAAAGTCAGAATTACACCAATTAGACTACACAGCTTATACCTGTAAATTAACCTCTGATGTGGGATATTCTACTGTAGAACAGACCTGACTTCAGGCAAGACAAGTTGAATTGAAGTATTTTTCAAGCTTAAAATTTGTATTTTTTTAAAAAATCAGACTATTTAAAAATATGCAGCTCTACATTTTTATGTTGTAAATTAACTTCACAAACAAAGCATCTCAAGACACATGATTTGAAGTGTACAATGATTGCATACACAAAAACATTACTTGCCTTCATATGGTGTGTCCGGAGGTCCTGCTATTTCTCCTCTTAATTCTGTAAAATTCTCATCTACAAGATCTACTTTAATTTGATTTTTGCTCGTCTTAAAAATAAACAGAGAAACAGAGAATCATAAGTAAGCATATGACATACAGATTTTCCCCAAAATATGGTATTTTAAATTTTTAGAACAGTAGTTTTTAAAAAAATATATAAATAAAAATTTAAAAGTGTAGTAACCTAAAGTAAATAAACTACCTCCTAGTTGAAATTTCACTTCATTAAAAATAGACTGTTTGTGAAGCATTAGAAATTTCAATAATATTATTTACACTATCTCTAAAATAAGCAAAGTAACCCAGCAATATCTCTAAAGTGTCATTTTAAAGTTGATTTAGTTTTAAAAAGACCATTATCTTTCAAACCAGCTATTAATTCTACATATCTTAAACTATAACATTAAACTGACCAAGTTGCATATTAGGTTTTTTCCTGGTTAGAAGACTTTAATTAATAATAGACATGACTGTCACTTTCACTGGACTACAGAAAGACTTCCCCAAATGGAGCGCTCACTAATTTTAAATACAATGATCTAAACAGAATACTATAGTCTTGCTTAAGATCATGTTTATCTTTAATATTTAGGTGTAAGGTACAATGTCTTTCACTTGCATTTTTTTTTTTTTACACTTGAATTCCATTGTCACCTCCTCAACATTTTCACACTCCATATCAACTTGCCTACAAAATAAAAACACTAGATTTTGATACTAAAAAAAACATGTTTTCCAGAAAATTATTCTCAGAAGCATTTAGCCAGAGCTACTCATTTCACTGAATTTACTTTTCAAGTCTAGAGAGCAGCATTAGCAAAATTCATCGAAAACTCCAGCCAGTACTTTGGGGTTCTTTTGGGGGGCAGGGAGGATGCAAAGCAGAATCTCCTTTTTGCAAGGTACACCACAAAGTTTTCAGAAGTAATTACAAGTTTGTCCATTTTGCTACTTCCATATACCATGCTCACTGACTGCAAGACAGATTTCCTAATCCCACTTTTTTTTTTTTACAAAAACTTGTGTCATCTTCCCAGATCCTTCAGAATTGTTCCAACCAGCTCTACACCAAAAAGCCCCGCGCAGCTGCACTTCTCCTCTCAGAGTAAATTTGGTTGCCAACAGCTATGAGAGAACAGTCAGATAAAGCTGATGCTTGTGATCAGCTGGTTCTTGGATACTGAACATTAATGATACAGAATTCACTGCACAACAGCTGGGAGATTACCTGTATTGTACCCGTAAATATTTGTTCTATAAGTTCAGCCCCTCTCACTAAAAAGGGACACCTTTTGGTCCCTCTATAGGTGTTCACACAAAAAGAAAAACAAAAAAGTTTCACCATGTAAAAGATCCTAATTAAATATGTTTCACTAAGTTAATCCATTGGTGATCTGGGAGCTTTTCACATCTATAGTTACACATCTGTGTCTTTAAAGCTTATGTAATCACCATTCAACCCACACAAATGGGGCAGCACCTGCATAGCTGAGACCAAGTACTACACTTCAAAAAACCAGAGATTCAACCACACCACAAATTAAGAACATACCACACAGATGCAAAATCAAAAGCCAATTAAATACTAAATGTAATGGTTCTGTTCTACTAATTTAAAACAACAAGCTAGTTTGTAGATAAAAGCTCAGCATCAGATCTTGCATTATCTTTTACTACCTTAGCTAAGACATCAAAGAAAGGAAGTTATTAATAGAACTAATGAAATTACATTTTTTTAAACATATTTTAGACTTATTTTCTTTCCTGCTACTGTTCATATAAATTGTCTGACCAGAGAGTATCTGAAACAGTTTTCTTTCCAAGCTCTGTTCCATAATAGTGGGCAGCAGCAGGACAGACCAACCCAGCGAGACAGCCTTCCCCAGCAGCCAGGCATGGCAAGAAATGCCCTCCTGAATCCAAACTCAACCATAGCCAACACATTCCTCTTGCAAGCTTTCCAGCCCCCTTTTAAAGTATTTTGCTCTCACTATTGCAACTGGCAGCTCATTCCAAAACTTCACAATTGTTAAACAGTTTTCTAAACTAAGATTTAGGTAGAGTTATAATCTATTTACATGCACCTGTGAGAGCAGTGTTTTCCAACTTCAACAAGTTCCTCTGTATCTCTAATATTTCTTCCCCTCACAAATATATTATTTATACCAGCTTCTCTTTTCAGCCTCAATTTTGCTCTAAACAAGCTAAAATTTTAATATTACCATACCGTTTCTTTTTAATTTCTCCACTCTACATCCCATGATCACCTAATTAGCTCTACACAAATGAATTCAGATGAAGCCTCAGAATCAGTGCCACAAACACTGTTGCATTCACTGAAAATCTAGCATCACCTGGGAACAAATTTGTCATCTTCTATGGCCATATGACAGTCTCAGAACAAGTCAGAGTCCCAGCAAGGCTCACTATGGAAGTTTGTCCCCTTCAGAGACCGCATCATGCTTTAAGTTCACAAAGCCGCACATTGGTTTAAATAAATAGTAGTTAACTTGGCCTGAAAACAACCTGCTTGGGTAATGCACTCATCCTAAGCTCTATTCAGGTTCTCCTGCTCTCCCCTCTCTCAACCAGTAACCTGTCAACTTCACCTGGTAAACTTGACAGCAGCAGTTCTTGTTCTTTGCAAGTAAACACAAAACTTTCCATCTTGAGGACTGAAGCAATAGCAAAAGGGATAAATACCCTTATTTTCCTCTGTACAGAATCTTGAGGAAAAACAGCAGGCTGTATTAAATGCTCCAGTGCAAGGATTAAATTTCAGGTTCACACTTAAATTCTACCATGCCCTTCATGTAACAAATGGATTCTTTTTATTCACATAGCTGAAGAATCCTTTTCATGCTATCCCGATGGTTTTTTCAGGGTGCAACTCAGCTTGACCTTGCCAATACGTGCTTTTTCCTTCATCCTTGGAGTTATAGCTAATACTTAACTGTACTGAAGTGATCTAATTAAATATGGCACGCTTTCCTACAGTATTTCCCCTTCATGAGGATCACACAGGATAAAATTATTTAATTTTAGCACCTCTAACAGAATAAATCCCTTGACCATAATCATGAGTTGTCTCTAAAATGGTACCAGAGTTCTGCAAAAGCGTGCCTCTGACACCAGTGATCTTCATACAGAATTTATGAATCAACTTGGGATCTCACAACAAACTGATTTTCCAGAAGCAGTTCTTCTACAGGAGACCTCATTATGCTTCCATACCAAGCCTAAAATAGCATCACCTCCTGTTGATTCAGTAACAATTTGGTGACTAAATCACTGGGCTAGCAATTCCTGAAATAGCTGAGCCTTGCCATCAGTAGCAGCATTTATTTCCATAATCCCAAAGAAGTTTAATTCTGTAACAATATAATTCTCACTAGCATTTCTCGTCAACAAGAACACACCAACATGAAACCCCTTTTCCAGGAATCCGCAAGTCCAACACCACACCAGCAGAACTTCCAATCATCACACCTGAAAATTATTTTGATCAAGACTGACTTTAAAAAAGTGTTAGTGACACATATTATGCAATGCATGAATGCCATTCCCTCATCTATTTTTTTTCTTCTTATTCTAGCCAGATTATACAGATTGTTTCTTTTTAAAAGCATCCCCTGCTTTACACTAGGGCTCTAGTAAAAATATTTGTCATCTTTTAGACCACCCCAACTGCTGAGAGTCTATGCATTGCTATAGTCGTGCTTACCCAACTTTAACTGCTTCGTGGAGATTAAACCCAAGCATGGAGTCTAAACTAGAAGTGTGAGGTAGAAAAGTTGGGCAGGATTCATGTAAGGCACTTTCATCCATTACAAAAGCCTTATCTTTAAAGAGAAACCCAAAAGGAATCAATCCTTCATGAAGAGTCATTCTGTGAGCATCTCCCAGAGATCACACACTCAGTCACATTTATCACACTAGCTACTGATCAGTAACATTTTGACTTGCCTTTGCCTGCCTCCTCCTTAAAACAATAATCCAGAATTACACTGTCTAGTTTTATATCTGAGTATCTTCCTTGTACAGAACAGACACTCCAATCCAGCAGAAACTTTGAAGGGTAAATTCTGCCACTCTGAAGACTATCACACATCTTCTCCACTTCTTCTAAAATCCTTTCAGAGAGCAGCTCTGGACCTCGTAACATTACTCTCAGCAGACAACAAGCTCTTCTCGTCTTTATATTCACCATACTTTTAACAAGGTGATTTTAACAAGGAGTTCTTGTTAAATTCTTGTTAAGTCCAAGAGCCCTGCCTTCTTTCTGCAGTTAATCCACCCCTTCTCTCAAGCTTTCCATGCCATTTCCTCCTCTCTTCTCCAATCTGCTTCTAAAACACCCTTTTATTTATGTGTCATTCATGGTCTCTTAGCCTTTTTACTAGTCTAGTACTTCCACTCTTAAAAATCAAAGTTTTCCTTCACAGAAGTTAAAAAGCAAAAAGAGAGACAAGACAAAACTATAACATAGACATCACAGGAGTATGTTAAAACAAGATAAGAAAAACTGCACTGTTCTTCTACACATCTCTTTCCCACATACAAAATATTATTTACTACATTTACCCCTCCCCCCTCCCCCCGAGAAAATTATATTCAAAGTTTGCTCTTGATAAATCTAGTAGATAAGTCTACTTGCTGGAGACTGAAGGTAGATGAAATTACTTTTTTTAACATAGGAATTGCAAGAGCATTGGATTTTTTTTACACTTGCCAAAAATCCTCCAAATTCTTCAGTTATTTTGAGAACTAAGCCATCAAAACAGTTAACCTCAAGCAATCAGCATAAAAACTTGCAATGTATGGATAGGTATCAAAATAGGTTAACTAAAAATGCAGGAATAGTGGTTTTAATTTTTTTTTTTTAATATCTATGTTAAAACTTGCCATGTGGAAGGAAAAAAACAAAACAAAACCACCAAAAAACCCTAAAACCCAAGAAGATCCCTCACACATTCATGTGAGCCATGGCTACAAAAAACATTATAAACTCAACACCAAATGATGATGGCATACAACAAAGAAATTTTGAGTGAGGTTATTCTAGAACCAACCAGCTTTACCTAGTCCCCTCATGACATTATCTTAACATTAGAGCTTTGATCCCTGCATAATAAAAATTACTCTAAAAGAAATGTTAACAGGTCAAATGCTCTACTATGCACCCAGCAGCATACATATTATGCTTTAAACTGTTACTGTCAGAACAAAAAATGAACAGAAATTATCCTTATTAGAGGTATTAATAGCTTCAATTCAGCATATCACTTCCTTAAAAAGAATAAAATAGTGCAAAAATGAATTCTCATTTCTATGTTCTAAGTGTACCTGCATCACGTAACATATTCCGATATCACATGCAAAATTCGTACCAAGTATCTTTAGGTATAAAGGATGAGATGGTAAATAAGCATCTATAAAAACAAAAAACACCACACACACAAAACCAGAAAAATACCCTATACTTTAAACAGGATTTAGAATTTAAAACTCAACAGTTACTTCTGAATAACTGTAAAAAAATCCAAAAAAACCCTGCTACTCCATACAGCAATTCACTATTTGCCGTCTGTGATTTTATGGGTTCTGTAACACTGTTTTTCTCTATTTTAAGGGGAACATACTCTATTCTGGATAAAATATTACTATTGTCTGTTAATTTACTTTGTTTTTACGGAAAGTAACTTGCAGAAAGCTCTAGAAACATGTATATACCGCCCTGCCTCAAAAAAATCCCAACAGAAAAACCCTAACCTAAAAAGGCACACATGTGATAAATGATGTATATAGACAAACAAGTCCAGTTGCAATGAAAGCAGATAAGTATTAAAACTCTGCAACCATTCAGTGCTTTACAATTAGCAACTTAAACATTAAGGAAAAGTTTTAAGTGACAAAAATGTTAAAGAATGTACATGCCAAGGTTTCAGAAGAGATTAAGGAACAAATTTGAAAAATTTCTCCAGAATTTTCTCTACCAAGGACAAAGCCCACTAGCTTGCAAGTGAGGGCATGCATTTAAAACTAATTGTTTTCTCTCACTATCTCCCAATTGCACTACCAAAAAAAAAAATTCTTTTCTTTCAGACTTGCTGAATTTTCACGTTACTGTTTGACTTCTTTATGACATAAACCAGCAATAAATACATTTGTAAATCATAGCTGTATTAAAGAAATAACTAAATTTTTTTATTAGATTTTAAGTATGTTAAAAAGTAAAGCGGGTACTTCTGAACATCCAAACATTTTTTACTAAGCTATAAGGATCAATATTTAATAAGCCAAATTAATTAAGAAATACTTCACCCTAGTCCAAAGCCATGCTAGTAAAATTAACCTAAGGTACTATAAAGTTACTAGTGTCTCAAAACTTTTCTTATCCTTCCACCCATTTTATACTCTACCACAACAGTCCTACTCTTATACCAAAACCTGGCACAATCATCTCAAGAGTTATTGAAAAAGACCATCTGATTGTCATAATGAAATCCATATAGCACTATTTTTTCAAAAGGCTGCAAATACTCTGAGTCAACGTAAGTGTTGAGCAGAAAACTCCAATCTTTTAGTAGCACTTTTCTCCACTAAACAATTATTTAAATTAATAACTTAAAGAAGAACAAGTTAATTCTTATCCTATCTACCAACCCCTTGCAAATTTGTGGATGAATATTCAAAGTAATTTTGTTTTACCCTAATTGCCATATTATTTTCTTCTACTCTTTTACTATGATACCATTAACTCTCTCAACTCTGTCAAATGACTCAGCCCTCTCTACCGCTATGCCAGAAAGGGAGGATCCTCACAAAAGCTCACCTCTTAGGCTACTGTCTAAGAACCCAACTACCAGCCTTGTCCCTCCTCTCATCTCCTTGGACTTACTTCTTTTCAGACCAACACTCCACCTTCTCAACCCTTTGGTACCACAGAGTAGCTCAGGATAAATACACTGCACCCGCTTCGCTCACTTTTTCAAGCAGCGTCAAAAGAGCAAAAAAGTAGGATACATCACTATTAGGAAGCAAAGTGCAAGACACTGTCCTGAAGCAAAATGGCAAATTCAACTTCAATAATATTAAGGTCTGTAAAACGTTTTTTTTCCCCTTAGTCACAAAGAGCTAGCAAAGCAAGAAGGAATACTTCAGCACTTTGGAAGTATTCCTTCAGACTCACGCCAGCTTAAAAGCTGGAATCAAGTGCATCTCCAGAGCCCTAAAAAACTGAAGCTTATTATTAAGAAGAGAAGCAGAAATGTCACGTAATTACCACAGCCGTGCCTATGAAGCATATGCACTGCACTATTGGTTGAGATGAGCAGATGACATTTGTGGTGTCAGAGAGAGCTCTTGCTGACCTCCAAAGCACAGAGCAATGCTCATCCATGGAACATGCAAATGTCTGGGGCACAGCAAGAAGAGAGGAAGAGTCTATTTAAAGCACATTAAAGAGCAGTTTTCCTAGATCAGAAAAGGACAATACAAAGAAATGCATTTTCTTAAAACGCTCATTCTTTGACTCTACTCTCAAT